CATGACAATTTTATTTTTGTTCAAGTAAGTTTCATATTTAAGCTATGTTAAGGGTAGAAGTTACAGCTTAAGGACGAAGCGATAATCGATCGTCACTGTAAACCAAAGATTAGACAGAGACCTCATTCACGTCTGCTACAAATTTCCCGCCACAAGCAAACGTCATGCTTGACAGGAAATCAGAAATCAGCTTGGAAAATTTTTTTAGAAAAATGTCAGACTGCTGGTTATTTAGTGTGTTGAAAACTTTGACCGGCTGCCGGTTATTTAGCCACAGCAAATTTTTCAAACGGTTTGCTAAACGTGTATTAAGGCTACAGTTAAACTTTTGCTGATCAGTAGCTGAAATACATCTTTATTCTCATGTCGTTTTCTCTGAATCTTTTCACCTTTCCTTACTAAAGGTATTTTTTTTTAATGTAAGCATTCGACAAGTTTGAAAATTTACGATTCAAAAACAGTTTGTATAAAGGTATTTTAACTTAGACACAACCTACACATGTCAGGTAAACCAATGTTAGGTAAACCATGTTAGGTAAACCAATTTTGCACCATGTAAAAAATTTAGTACATGGAAACTAACTGATGATGGAGTGTATATGGAAACTAACTGATGAGTGGGCTAACTTTATGTTAGCGTACGAAACAGAGCTGTATTAAACTCCAAATCTACTGAAGATCTGAGTAGTCTCTCAACATAATTGGTTAAAAAATTTAGTACGTTTTTTAGTAGAGAATTGCATGTAATGATGAAGAAATATTATCCAAATACACCAGTTGATCTAAGGGGGTGATTACATGGTGAATATCATCCCAGTTAAGGGTCCATTAACTGGTCTTTTCGAGCCATTGCTAAGGAAAATTAATTCTCAAATAACCTCGCCATTTTTAGTTACTTCAGAGTTATTTCATGTGTTTTAGCTTTCTCATCATCAGAAACACTAGTGATGATGTCATCAGGGCACATCCATGCATGGTCATGTCACTAATTCTGAAAAAACGTAAAGGCTCCTAAGTATATTACTTTATCAGGATTTTAATTCTCATGTTGCTTTGCATAGATTTTGTTTCAATTCTAAGAGGTCAGATTTTGAGAGAATTTCAAAATATTGAAAAATTTGTAACTTTCTGGGAAAAGCATAATTGCACAAAAGGAAAAGACCCTATTCATAAATGACTGCCAATTTAAAATTCTTTTGTACGCATTTAAATCAGCCTAAGGAGTGGAAGACCGCCTGGCGAAGAATGTGTCACGAGGCACAAAGAAGCTAGGTAACAGGTAACAGGTAACTTATCTCGTTTGAGAGTACAAATTCTTTTGAATTATCAACTGCATGAATTTGTAAGTTATTTAGTTGTTTTTATTTTCTGCGGTCTGGTTTACACAAGTAACTGGAAGTGAAATTTCACCTCCTTGGCAACACATGCAAGCACGTAAATGAATTGGTTAATGGGCCTTTTCAGAGCATGCATGCCTGAGTTCTCTTTTCAGCCTGGGCTGCAATACCTTTTTTATTACATGAGCTATTACGCAGGAAGAAACTTTCTCCATGTAATCGCCAATTTTATTTCAAGCAGATTTGTCCTGGAATCCTTATTAAAATCCCAGCCCCCTAACAGGGCTAAAATTTCAGCCTAGGCTGAAATTTGCTTTGTGTCACCCCCTATTAGTCTTTGAAAATCAGAGAGTAGGAGCAAATTGATAATATTAAGGACTTGTTTTCATGTTTTCAAATAGATACTAAAAAGGAAGCTGAGAACAAAGTCACTGAGCTAGTTAGCCCTGCAGAAATTGGGGAAGAGGAGTTGACCTTAGATCAACCTCGGCCTCGCCGAAACCCTAAGCCATCTAAAAAGAAGCTTGCAGCATTGAGGGATGCTGATGATGACATTACCGATGAAATGCAAAAGTCAGTGGTATCTTGGAGACAGAAAAATGTGAAGAGAAAAGCAGATGTAGAAAATGAGGATGAGACGAATGCTTCGGGAACAGAGGAAATGAGGTCTCAAAAACAGAAACGTAAAAAGGCAAATAAAACAGAGGTGAAAAGTAATATTTCAGGGGTTGCTTCAGGGAGAGAGCAAATGGTGCCCCAGAAACAGAAAAGTACCAGTAAGGAAAAGGCAGTGGTAGAAAATCATGAAAACAAAATTGTTGCAGTAGCAAATGCTAAAAGAGTACAAAATTTACTTTTGTGAAGGCAGCATTTTGCTGCAAGTGACAAGAATACTTCCGAGAGAACTGAAATAATCGAAGTTGAAGAAGGAGAAGTAAGTGGATCAGAGGACACATCAGATTTTGCACCTCAAAACCAGCAGTCTTTGAGTGTGACAAACAGCTCACCTCCTCTCCACCAGTCTTCAGGTGACGACTTCAACTCACTCCAGCAACAACAGTCTCTTCAGTCTTCTGGTGGAAACTTCAACTCACCACAGCACCAACAGCCTCTTCACTCTTCTGGTGGTAACTTCAACTCACTGAAGCACCAACAGCCTCTTCAGTCTTCAGGTCATAACCTGAACTCACCTGAGCACCAACAGCCTCTTGAACAGTCTTCTTGTGGTAACTTCAACTCACCCCAGCACCAACAGCCTCTTCAGTCTTCTGGTGGTAACTTCAACTCACCGCAGCACCAACAGCCTCTTCAGTCGTCAGGTCGTAACCTCAACTCACCTGAGCATCAACAGCCTCTTCAGTCTTCTCGTGGTAACTTCAACTCACCCCAGCATCAACAGCCTCATCAGTCTTCAGGTGACGACTTCAACTCAATCCAGCACCAACAGCCTCTTCAGTCTTCAGGTCGTAACTTCAACTCATCCCAGCACCAACAGTCTCCCACCTTGGCCAACAAGTCACCCCCTTGCCATTGTGGGAATGTTGACTCCCCCCAGCAGTCTCACAATTATCAGTGTTCAGATAAAAGATACAGTGCACCACTCCAGACCTCAGATGGTAAATACATGTATAGCTTACCTCACCATCCACAGCATACAACATTAAGAGCATCTGCATCACCACATTATGATCAAGCCACATCACAGAAAGGATTCTCATTCTTTCAGAGCTTACAGCACTGCTCTGACTTTGACGTGTCAGATTTAGATCTGCCAATGAATCCCGCTCCTCACCTGGAAGCAGGAAGCCACACAATAAGAGATGATATCCAACAGAGGGAACCCTCATTCAGCAACCTGCAAACAGCATGCTCAAGTTGTCAGCCTCTGCTGATGTCACCTAACAAGAGACTTGGTAGCCTAGAAGCTGAATTTGAAAAACTAAAGAGAAAACAAAGAAAGGTAAGTGTATACTGTACCTAGAATACACTGATCAGTTTTGTTACAGATTGCTTTGATTATCTACAAACTTGTATAATATACAATATAGTTACGTTATGTTTGATGGATATATGTGGTAGTGTGTTACATTGATTATATGGTAGTTTTAAGTTAATGATGCCGGAGAGCAGAGACTAAAAGACTGTCCAAAATGAGCAGTTGCGAGAAGTGAAGCTTCCAGGGCAGCTGTGAGATCATTAAGGGCCAAAAAAGGAGGGCAGTATCTTCTGAATACACCAGGATGGCAGAGGGTGTTTTATAGTTCCTTTACATTTAAATTGTATAATTATTCATGTATGACCCTCCACTTAATTCTAATGATTCACTTTATTGTAGTACGAAGAAAGGTTAAATACCCGGTAGGATAATTAGTTGTTTCTAATCAATAATTGAAACAACTAATGATTAATTCTTCCAAGTTCATAAAAATACGGACAGATATTGAGTATTTCACTCGGGCTTATAGTCAAGTCACTTTCTTTTAAGTGTCATATCCTTCTTAACTTTTTTCAACACATTTTCGTAACAGGGAAAAGCAGTATTGGATGAAAATGCAGAGAAAGAAAATCCAAATGAGGAGAGATTCAATGGTATTACAAAGGTATTACACTGAAGTAATCATCACTCTCTGTACAAATAAATGGACACTTTACGAGATAAACTAAATTTTCAGGTAGTTAAGAGATTGATTCCACCTGTTCACTTTAAAATGAGTTTTCAGGTCAAACTGATTTCAGACTAGTTTCAATATTGTTTTTCATTTTTTATGGATTATGGTACAGCAGGTAATAATATGGTCCAAAAGAAAATGTAAATCAAACTAGCTCAAAATCACTTGACATGGAGTTCATAATTCTTTTAACTACAGCACACGGTGACACCCATGCATGTGCAGTGTACACACCTGAAATACAGTATATTTAATATTACAATCTAACAAATTGTGGCTGGGTATTGAACAAGTATATTTAGACATCAATTTGTACCCACTGAGTTCTATGAAGTAAACCATAGTCTATATAGTAAATGACCTATAGACTCCTTTCAGTTAATTCCTAATCTGGAGGAGCATTTGAAAGGTTTGTTTCTCTCAGCGGAAAGAACAACCATTGTTTTTCCTCCAGATTGGGATTTAAATGGGTCTACATGCATCTTGTCATGAGACTATTATACTATTAACATTATTATATGACTTGCGGTTGTAGCCAATATAACCCCCATTCTGATTGGCTAATACTAGGGCATTGTTCTCCCGTAATGCCCACCAGCCGATTATGGTCGTGCAAAGCCCAGCAAAAAGCCACATAATAAACAAGTTACTAACCTTAAACATTTCACCTTTATGGGAAAATCTCAAACCTCAGCCTTACCGTATTAACCTCACTATTGCTCGGTCAATACAGCAAGGTCTTGGTCTGATATTTTCTCATTAAGACCTCACTCTTGGTTAACAAGTAGTTAATATCAACTTTCCTTCTCTGTATTAGGAGGCCTTAGTCAGGTCAATTGAGGATTCCTCAGACACAAAATCAGCAGTGGAGGTCCTAGCAAAGCAACTCTTTACAAATTATGAACTGCAAACTTCATCGGTCACTGGCTTTCAGTGCAATAAAGATTATCAAGCAAGACCAGGACTGAGTCCCTCAAGAAGGAGCCTTTTAGAAAGTGAGTTAATTGAAAAGCTTTTGTGTTATTTAAGGTGGCTCAAAACAGTAATATTTCCGAGAAGCCTGGGCTCTAATGCGCACTTCAGCACTAGGCATCATGCGATCACCGGAGGGGTCGCCAGAAAGCATGTGAGATTTCAAGTTTGCAAAACTCACAGCAAACATGGGGACACAAGGCCTACTTCGTAGAACTTTGTTTCCACCTAGTTTAGTGAGCTGTTTGCGATATCACTTATTTTTATCTTCGAAAACATCCATCCTTCAGGCAATTTCAAATGAAAATTTAAACATTCTTTTAAACTGCTGTGCTGGAATGTAAACAAAAATTGTGATTGATATTGCAATTGATCACGTCGGCTATCAAGCTAAAAACCAGCAGGTTTTCTTCTTCAGGTTTTCTTCATTCTTTTTATTACGCCAGTCTCACCTGCGGGTATTTATGGTACTCTTCTTCTACCGCTTATGCTGCTAATGACAACAGCAAAAAGAAAACACTATTCGCGGGTATTCATGTTTATTCATGTGGAATTGTGGGCTTTACTGAGCAGCGGACTGCCTTCACACATGTGCCAAGTGC